TCAATAATGAAATTCATCCTCAAAAATACAACTTGCCTAATAATTGTGCACACAGTGTAAATGTTTCTATAAGTGGTTACATCTGGTACAACTGTTTAATGTGCAAAGCACTTCCAAATTTTTAATTTATTTGTTCTTACGGTAAGTCTCTGTAATAGAAAACTGTATCAAATACTGTATCTTGCAAATTAATTAATTATTAAAATGATTATTAACTGGCAAGACATAATGAATTATACAAAATTAGTGATTGAATTTGAAAGTTCTACAAAGAAAACAGCATCAAGGCACATCTTTATATTTGGCTTTTGAATGTTAAAAAATATTTTTATTATATTATTTTGTTACATGTTATAATTACCACAACATGTTAGTTTCATTGTTATGTTATTTATTTGTCAAATTTATATGGCTGCCCATCTCATGAAAAAGTGACTGTAGATGGTGTACAACAAGACTATAAAAGACCTCAATATCTCACTGGTCCCCTGTGGCCCCCAGGCCAGATGGCATAAGCAGGTTTTGAGGGACTTCCGGAAAATCAACAGGGATGGAGCCAACCTCACTTTGGGGAGCGGGGGAGGATGTTCCATAAAGCAGGTGCCACAGAAGAGAAGGCCCATTTCCTGAGACCCACCATGTGTAGCTCCCTAGCTGATGGGACCCATAGCATGCCTCTTGTGCTGGATCTGATGGGATGGGCAGGTATAATCGGGGAGAGGCAGTCCCTCAAATAACCCGGCCCCATGCCATGTAAGGCTTTAAAGGTCAAAACCAGCACCTTGAATTGGACCCAGAAACAGGCTGGTAACCAATGCAGCTCTTGTAATGTGTGTTGTTCTACAGACACACATAACTGCCTGCGCCGCTGCATTCTGCTCCAGCTGAAGTTTCTGGACATTCTTCAAGGGCAGCCCCACGTAAAGCACATTACAGTAGTCCAAGAGGGAGGTGACTAGGGCATGAGTGACCATGAGGAGATCCCCCCAATCTAGGAACGGGCACAACTGATGCACAATATGAAGTTGTACAAAGGCCCTCCTAGCCACGACTGCCTCCTGTTCTTCAAGCAGGAGTCATGAGTCCAGGAGAACCCCCAGGTTGTGCATCAGGTCTGTCTGCGGCAATGTAAACCCATCCAGTGCTAAGTATGGCATAGTCCTAGAACTGGCAGGCACCAAAACCCAAAGCCACTCAGTTTTGCCAGGGTTCAGCTGAAGCCTGTTGCTCCTTGTTCTATCCAGACCCTCACAGCCTCCAGCTACTGGGATAAGATGTCCACAGCATTGCTTAATTTGCCAGGGGCAGAGATGTATAATTGGGTATCACCAGTGTACTGATGATACCTCACCTCATGGCAATGGATGAGCTCACTCAGCAGCCTCATGTAGACATTGAATAGGAGTGGAGAGAGCACCCTGTGGAAGCCCACACAGTAGGGGCCAAGGGTGGGATCTCTTCCCCCCAATCACCACTGACTGGAATTGACCCCAGAGAAAGGAGGCAAATCAGTACAACACAATGCCACCCACCCTCAATCCTCTGAGCCAATCCAGAAGGATACCATGGTTGATGGTATCGAAAGCTGCAGAAAGGTCAAGTAGGGCAAGGATGGATACAAAGCCCCCATCCTGCCCTCGCCAGAGATCATCCAAAAGTGCAACCAATGCCATTTCTGTCCCATATATTGGTCTGAATCCTGATGAAAGGAATCCAGATAATCTGCTTCATCCAAGATCCTCTGAAGCTGTTGCGCAACCACATTCTCAACAACCTTTCCCAAAAAGGAGAGTTTGGATACTGGATGAAAATTGTCCAGTATAGTGGGGTCCAGTGATGGCTTCTTGAGGAGGGGGTGAACCAAGTCCTCCTTAAGAGGTAAAGGAACAACCCCCTCACTCCCTTACTCAGAGAAGAATTAACCACCACTAGAATCCATTCACATGACCCCTTCCCCAGGCCACTTTAATAAGCCAGGAGGGGCATGGATCAAAAGAGCAGGTCCAGCCTCCCTGCAGTGGACAGTGGCGCTAGAGAATCCCATGGTAATCAGGGTGTGATCTGACCATGACAAGGGAGACACCAAGTGCTCCCCCAATTTCAGACACAGCCACTGCTCCAACAGGAACACCAGATCCAGTCTGTGACCACTGTCCCATGTCGGGCTCTGGATGACCTGGGGCAGGCCCAAAGCCGTCATGGTGGCCATGAACTCCTGAGCCACCTCAGAACCCACTCCTGGAGAAGGCAGACTGAAGTCCCCCAAGACCAATTTTTGCCAACCCAGAAATGGAGTCAAGGAGCTCATGCAGGGAAGTTGCTTTGCAGCAGGGAGGCTGGTACAACAGCAACAATCCCAACTGATGCCTTCAGCCCAACTTAATGAATAGGGTTTCACATCTTGTGACCTATGGTGCAGTGCCCCTGAAAGCGATTCCCTGATGATAATCGCCACACCTCCACCCCTGCCCTGGGGCCTCGGCTAATGCCACACCCCAAACCCAGCTGGGCATACCTCTGAAAGTGCCACCCCGCCCCCCGTCCAGACCCAGCCAGGTCTCAGTGATACATGCCAGGTCGACCCTCTCATCCATGATCAAATCGCAAATGAGGGCGGCCTTATTACAAACCGACCAGTTAGAAGCAGCAGCCAAAAGCCAGGGCCTCTGAAGGTCTACAGACAGGGTACTGGGGCTGAGACTGAGGAGCTGGAATGCGAGACTGGAATCAAACAATGGTCCTGTGTTCCCCGGGAACGGTCTGCTCCCCATCTCCCACCATATCTCCCCATGCCCATCACCACAATACGTCGGCCTGCCCCCATCCCCTCAACTGCAGCCCCATCTCCATATCCAAGCCTCTCAGTTCCCAAGATCGGAAAGCACCTACTGTAATCACCAGCCATCCCTGGGAGAGGAAGTCAGGTACCCCAAGGCACTTCAGCTTTACCAGCTCTCAGCGCCATCAGGGTACCCAGTAACCACCTCCCCCACTCCACTCACACACACACTCCCATTCACAGGCACCCTTCCCCTGCCACTCTCACCAATTGGTCAAGGGTTCCCTTTTCATTCACCCCAACCCCACCAGAGGGGAGAATCAGTCTTCAGTGGGAAACCCACAGTCCACAGTCATAGGTACCTAGCTGATAGACAGAATCCACAATGAAGTGGTTAACAATTGCCGCTTCATCTTCTTCCTCTCTGCTACTGGCAGAAGGGAAGGCAAAATGGCCTCTGCAGGGAGGGAGTCCACAGTAGCCTGCCACACTATAGTTATCTCCCCCTGCCTAGTCTAGCCACCACCAGCACCTTCAGAGTCCTGGTTGGCCTCTTGCTTGTTAGAGTTATATTCTACTTTTTATGCAGGAACATAAGATGGTGAGTATAATGCTCCCTCTTCCCCTTTTCCTCCACAACAACCAAGGAAAGTTGGATTGTCATTTAGTGAGCTTCTGCATTGAGTGGCTATTTGAATTTGGATCTCCCCATTTTAATGGCTGGCTCTCTTCTAAAGTAGTTTTAATTTTTTTGTTCGGTTTTTTTGTACTGTTAGCAGCTGTCTTGAGCATTTTTTTGGGGGGTGGTGGTAGAAAAATAGGATATCAAATCAACAGATTAATAAGCAAATCAATACTGTTAATTCTGACAATGCTAGTCATTTGACATGCAGTCAGCAAATAGAAGCAAACAGATAACTTTTAAGTGTTCTTTAGTACACTAAAATCTTCAAAGCAAAATTTCAGGATTCTTCAGAGAATCAAACAAACTGATGCTCGTCCCTCTAGAAACTATGCAATGAGCCAATTCAAAGGATATATACCTTTTCCATTTCCCCCTTATTCTTACACAGAAAGGCCAGCTAGTAAGGAATTTCTAACACAGAGAAATATTATCCTATTTTTCCAGAGTAATCAGTTTTAGAAAACTATACCCCTAGAGTGGATATTGCTTGACACGTTTAATGACAGAGGACAGTTCGGTAGATCAATTTCTATACTCCATATTACACTGATTCTGATTAATCACAGTCTTTAAAAATAATTTGGAATAATCCTACTAGACTAGATTCAAATAAGAAATTTGTAAAACACTCAACAAGAAAATATGGGGAAGTTAATTACCTGTTAAGTATTTTACTTTTGCACGGGCTCTTTCATCTGCATCAAAATACCACACTGTTATTGCGTACCTTTAAAAGAATAAAAAAAGGTGAAGCAGTAATGCTACATTAAAATCATGCTTCTGTCAAAACTACTTGAGATTATTTCTCTGTTACAGTTGAAAAGTACCACAACAGAACAATTTGTCAGTTTTACAGAACTATTTTCCCCTTATGTCGTGCCCATGGGTACCATGATCTCTCTTCATTTATATAAATTATGAGGTAAGTAGGCATATTTGAAAGTGAAGCTCAAGATGACTGCTGTCTTAATTTTTCTAGAACTAAACCTTTGTAATTTATAGAAGTTCATTTTTAAATCAGTATCAAAAGAAAAAAATACTGAACTATTTTGTACCTTTGCTAATTTATGTGCTTCGAAATAATTTTTACCAGTCTACCTATTCTTAACAAAAACATTTGATAGATATTCCCCAGTTACAACATGTACTATGATTCCTTAATTTCTCAATTTATACTTGAAATTGTTTACTTTTTGCCATAGTATTAGTTAAAATTGTGATTTCTTGATCTTCTAGGAAAACCTACTTTCCATCCTCAAATTTTCTTAATGTCATTTCATACATTCCCCAATATATGGATTTCAGCTCTCAGAATTCCTCAACCACCATAGCTATTGCTGAGAATACTGGAAATTGAAATCTATATGTCTGGTGAGCACCAAGATAGAAGGCTGTTTTAGCCTTTAAAGAAATAAATAACACCACAATAGATTCAATTTATTTACCTTTCTGCAACCTCTGAAATGTTATATGGCATTTCAATACAAACTTGTTACATCTTTAATCAGTTCAAGATTCTGCTTCAGCAGCATTTCCAATTATCCTCCCCAAGTCTTCTCAAAATATTTGGTAATCCCTCTCAAGTTTAAATTGTGTAATCTGCTTTTGTGTTCTTTCCAACTTTGCCACTGGATCCTTTACACTGAGTTATAGTCAACAATTTCTTATGCATACTTTTGTTTGTATGCAAACAGACCAAAATAAAACAAAATATTTCCTGTTATTTGACTTTCACATGAAAATCTGTCAGAAATTGTTTTCAATATATCTCTAATTCCTTCTTTTAAAATACTACAACTTAACCCATTCATCTAATTTATGGATTATTTGACAGAGGAAATGTCAAATAAGGAATATTTGTTCCTAATCTGACATTTCCTTTTGAATATTTGTTCCTTATTTGACAGAAATTTAAATTATAGGAAATCTAATGGCTGTAGTAAATTATAGGGAATCTAATGGCTATAGTAAATTTAATGGGCTAATGTGGGAGCAGGTTGCCTATTAAAGCCAATGCCTATTAAATCAAATTTTTTATTTATTGTATATACTTGTGGATAACCCTTGAAATTTTCGTATGTTTTAATTTTCACAGTTGGCTTATCCATGGGTTACACATTTTCATGGTATTTTGGTTAAAAATTCAAGGGTCAGCTTATCTGTGGATGGCTTATCCACAAGTATATATGGGTACTTGAAAAAAATATTACTGTATGTACTTGCAGACAAGCCCATCTGTGGATAAGCCAAACCCAATTCTTTGGGTGTATTTTGGAACCTAAAATTCTTGATTTATCCACAAATATATAGAGTAACCTAGGTAACAACAACGGTAAGTAGGAAAGTGCTTAGGTGCACATTATCTTCCTACCCTCAGGAGCTCTTAGCATAGTATATCCCACTGGACCACCCACCCCCCATCTTTCCAGAATCTTGAGCCTTCCCTCAATCAAGACTGATGCCCCCCCATGATATATTCTAGTTCAACAGATTTTGTCCATTAAATCCAAACTCCACTAAAACAAGATCCATTAAATTAAGGGTTCATTATTGCAAAATAATCAATCCAAAATTCTACATTTTTTATTTAACATATTTTCTACAATTCTTAAACTGATAGACTTTGACTCTGATGGCCCACAAATAATAGCAGATGGTAAACTCCGAAATTGCAACAAGCATTTTGAATATGTAAGGAAGAGGTTTCACCTGTAACTTTCCAGAAAGCAATTAATGTATTTTTGAAAGCTAAAACAGCAAGTTTTTAACACATTTCCATATCCTTCCATGTTTTATGTATGATTCATTCATCTTACCTTGTAGCAAATGCAGGCTGCACTTCATGAGGGTTGCGGCGATCAGACCAGAAGAACAGCAGTCTATCAAATTTAGGTTCAATATCAGCAAACTGGGCTTTGCCTTCTGGAAATATTCGAAGAATACCTCCACTTACCTAGAAAAAAAAAATCCAACAGGAGTTCACATTTTTTAACAGTTAGCAAGTAACTGTAAGATATTAAAATCACTACAAATAGTTTCTTTTAAACTCAATAATTAAATCAAGTTAGACCTCCTTCTCATTGTGAAAATAACTCCAACTATAGCAATGAAATCTTTTCTGAATTCTATAAAATGATATAATATTACTTGACAGATCACTTAACCCACTGTATCACACATAGTCACCAATGTGTATGTTTGGACGCGTATCTAAGTATTCACAACAGGAACTTCTGTGTTTTAACTAAGAAACAAAGTGGTGGGAATAAATAGTATACTGTGTGCTCTACTCATGCATACAAGTTTATTATCTACTCAGATAACAATAATAAATGGCAATGCTTCACAATAATCCATCATTCTTCAGGATGAAACATAAGTAACAGGAAATTACAGTTACAAAGAGCCATCAAACTAAGATGATACAAATTAGGCTCTGGCTGTCTTTCCATAGTCCTTCCAAAAGATTATTCCTCCTCCTCCGCTCCCCCTCTATCACAGATATTGAATACCACAATTAAAGACGTAACATGTTTGGTACTTTATATTAGATTTTCATTTGAATCACTTTACCAAGCACCACAAAACCATGATGTTTATTGCCGTAAAAGTATAAGCTGATGGTAAGAGAGTTACTTGAGGCATGTCTGAAGATCTCAGTATACATAATGGGATTTTGGACATATTTTCCAAGAGTAGAACCAGATAATAAATTTTAGATCCTAGACCAAATATGACATATATTTGTCCTGGACTCCTAAGCTTGGTTGCAGTCTTAAGCATAAGTTTGCCAGGTGTTCAAGAGATTCAGTTTAAAACTTACAGAAAAAACAGGTTATTTTTAGACTTATTTAGACAACTCAGCCTAACACTTATCCACTTATTACAATTAATTTTAAAATAACACCTATTTCTTAAAACATGTAAAACTTTCTCCAAAAATAGAAAGTACCTTGGCATCCCAGTCTTTATTAAGGTAATATATACATGTGACACATCTTCCATCTCCATTTGGATTATCCACATGGCGCACATATCCTGTTCCATTGCCTGGATAACAAGCTACCATTGCCTGCAATTAAAAGGAAGTACAAAACATGAACATAAAGGGGTTTATTTCAAAAATGGGTTTCTGAACTTCAGCATGTTGACATTTAATCTGGTGAAAATAGTTAATAAACATATAAGTGAATATATATAACATCTACCAAACTATTTTAAAAGAAAACATATTCATTCATTCACATTAGGTAATGATATCCTTACACATCTTATCAATTAGTAAGTTTTAATCATCTAATGTAATTATTGTGCCAGCAGTAAACAAAGCTAAATTTAAAAAAAAAGAACCCATCACCACAGGTCAATGCTCAATAGAGCTTACCATCTATATTTCAAAATGAAAACAGGAAGAAACCTAGATAATTTTGCAAGACCTTTTTCTGTGCCCAAGCCTGAGTGTATGAAGGGTCCTGTCTCTTAGTTGTGTTATTTTCTTGGCTACTATGTTTTTTTGTAATTGTAATTGTAATTGTAGATGCTATTGTTTTATTTTTATTTTATTGTTTGCTGCCCAGAGTCACTTGTTGAGATGGGCAGCTATATAAATTGATTAAATAAGTAAATAAATAAATAAACAAACAATAAATCTATATTCAATCTTGTACAAGTATATTTCTGCTCACAGAGTTACCTTTTCTGTCTTTTCCTCTGCAGCCCTTTCTTGTTCCACTAGGATCCCTTATCCCCCTAAGTAACTAGCATACTGGGCAGAAATCTATTCTGTCAGTAAACTGATATAACTGAAATAATCCATACTGTTTTATTATGGTATAAGAACACTGTAATTTGGAGGAGAATACAGAGGGCTTTCCATTAAAGCTTGGTCTTTATAAATTCTATTGTGTTGTTAATAATGTAGGAAACAGAAGATTAGTTGTTTTTGCCACTGTCTAAAACTAGTTATTAACTGCATTTATAAGTAGTTACCTGCAATATAAACAAGAATGACTTTTCATTATCATTTCAAAACAGTACAAAAAATTACCAAGGAATAGTTAAAAACACACATATGAATGAATACAGATAACTACTTTCCTGCCAAGAATCGGAAAGTTACTGTAGACACTACACTAAAACCTAAGTTTGGGAACGGAAATGACAAGGAATTCTACAAACCGTTTGGGTCCACGCAACATTCTAAATCTTAAAACAGATTAACAAAACACAACTGCTATATTCATATAACATGCTATGTTCAAATATAATATGCTAGAGCTAAACAGGATTGCCTATTTCATATAACATGTTAAGACAATGGTTAGGAACCCAACAATATGTTGAATCACAAATTATCCATCAGCGTTTTAGCCCAGTATACTGTGTCGTGTGAAACTGGTGATCATGTTTGTTTATTTATTTAAAAGATGTGTATGGCCACCCATTTTAAACAACTCTGAGCTGCTCACAACAATAGTAAATCCAGTAACTATAAAACAATCATAAAACAGTAAAATGATCAAACAAAAATAAAAACCCTGCACCTTAATCATCCTCTTAGGATGATGCCCCACAGCTAGCTCCAATTATCCTCAGTATGTTCAGTTAAAATATATCCATGATCTTTTGAGGATAATTTTTAAAATTTTATCTGTAGCTCCTGTTTGTTGTAAGTATGTTTAGATTCCTCTCTAAAAAAACATCCCAGAAGAAAACAACAGTTGCAAGAAAACTACATAGAGATATTAATGAATTAAGGAGTTGAATCTCAAAGGAGTATTTAATTTTTTTTTAATCAGAAGCAATGCAATAATAAATATATACGCTTAGCTTTTATAGCCATTTAATACTTCGTTCTTTGCTGTGGACAGGACTTTCCTAGGAGCAGGAAATGGAAGGAATGGGGACTGGAGATGAGTTAACACACAAACTCAGGCTGACTATTCCTATATGAAACTATTTCCTATAAGTCAGTAATACCGTGCTTTAGATTAGAACAAAGAGCATGCATAACTTGCTAGGTCACATAATTTAATTGTAGTCAATATATTGCTAAATATAAAATTCAACATACTGGCTTGTTTCACATGTTATAAAAATAAGCATAATTGGCTTGGACATGGACACCAAGCTGGTTGTTCCACACATGGAATGTTTTGCACACTTATACTGTGAAACAAAAGGGCTCCTGAGCCTAGTATAAGAGTTTTAAGTATAGCAGCCATTATTTAGCAAGCAAGCAAGCATGCAGCAGAGTTTCAACTCGGTATTAGCAGCTAGGTTTTAAGAGGAAGTTGTTCATTAGAACTAGTGGAAAAGTTTTGGCTTCATATTTGACAGGTGCAGCATGATGTGGCTATTTTTGTCTTCAGGCTTCTTTGTAACCAATCATGATTTTACACGACTGTAGTTCCTTGTTGCTTGATCATAAATACACCGTTTTCTTTGTTTCGGGGTCTTGCCCTTGGAATGTTACTGAACATGTCTCTGTGTGAATGACCAGGCTTTGCAAATTCTTTTCAATAAAGTTTGGAGACCAAACAATTACTCTGAGTCCTGAGAGTAGAGAAAATGAACCTCACTGCATTTCATGTAATTGGGAAGAAGAAAAAAGGTATACGGTCTCTTATAGATCTTTCTCCTATAGCACTTGTAAAAGCTGAAGTGGGAATCTGATTCTCTTCCTCAAAACAGTTGTTTTGTAAACTTTTAATATGAGGAAATAAGCAACCAAACCGCCACCGGTTACAAAAGATCAGAGGAAGGGAATCAGGAATTAAACCTGGGGGTAATACATACATATGGCGCTTTCAGGGAAGCAATGGAGAACTGAAGATGGCTTTGCTTTCAGCGGAGCTGACAACTGCGGCAGAACGAGGAGCCAACGAACGGATCGGTGCCTTGAAATTCCTCCCCGGACAAAGGGGAGGACGTGGGATTGCCCACAGGGCTCCTTACAGAGGCTCCCTGTGACAAGACCATAAAACAGTGGTCTCTAGCAGGTTTGAGAGCTCTGGGAGCTGGGAGAGTCAGCTTGCCCAAGCCACGGTTTGGAGCCTTTAAAGAGACACGGGGTTCGCCCACTTTCTTTCTTAATCACTTCTGAAAATGGCTTGTAAATTGCTTTTTGGATACTAAGAACCTTCAGAAAGACAACTTTTATTTCATTGAGTGATTTTCCTTCAATCCTCAATGTAAGAAGTTTCATGTAAGTTTAAGAACTTAAAGAAAAAAAAAATAATTTGGAAATAAGCAGCAAAAGGGTGATTAGAATGTTGATTTTGGAAAGTTATAAACGGACAAAGGGGCTAGATTGACTGGAAATAAGATTTTGAAATTAACTATAAGAGTCCTTCCTGTGGTTTGTTTAAAATCCTATTAAAATATGTGAAGATCTTGAAGTTAAGTGTAAGAAATCTTCCCATGGGAAAATGGTGTGGATTAAAGAAAAACACGATAAAAGAGGCCTTGAAGACTGGTTACTAGAGGCAACCAGAAAGAACTAACAATTGTAATTAAAGGAGAATACCCACCAATACAGAATGGAGAAAAGTAATGTTATATGTATTGTTCTTTCTGATAACTCTTAATGGACTTTTGCTGATTAAGGTTGAATGAGATTTTATTATTTACTAATAGATAAAAGATGAGATACGGGATGAAGAGCTCTTTAGTTGAAATGTTAGAGAAGATGATAAGTTACTGAAATTGTTTGTGCTTGTCTTGATAAAGGGGGAAGTCATTTCTTTATATATTTTTTTCTTTACATATTTTTTTCTTTTTCCTGCCCCCTTTTCTTCCTTTTCTCTTTTCCCTTTGAACTTTTAATTTTGTAATTTTTATATTTTTCTTGTATTAGTTATTTCTCTCTGTATTTTTAAACTTTAATAAAAATTATTTTAAAAAAAGGAATAACATTCATATGGCAAGATTCTGGATTCTGTTAGATGCAGAATTTCTTTGAATGCTTGGCTTTCTAATTGTTGCAACAAATCTACTAATTTAACTTTGTGCTACTTGGGAATGCAAAAATGTGAGTGTTCAATTGCTGTACCAGGTACAAAGCCTTGACATCACTAGATTTAATACAGCTTTTAAAGAAGAAATGCTTTTATTGATGCTTATTTATCATTAAAAAGCTGAAAAGTTTAGGAATTTAATAACAAGGAAACAGCTTAAATACAGATTATATGTGAAAGAGGAATCAGTGGAAAGAGTGATTACAAAATATCTATTTTAAAAAATCTAGCAAATAATAACTTATTGATCATATAATACCAATAAGTTGATGTATTAAATCTAAGTATAGAGTAATAATTAACTCAAGGATGCACTACAAAGTATCAGTCTTAAAGGACATCTTGCTTAATTTTTATTATTACAAGGTTTAATAACACTTAAATGCAAGATTAAATAATCAACAAATAAATTTCCTTCCTTTCATATAGTGTTATAAATTAGATATAACTTAGAACAGTGTTTCTTAAAGTTTAAGAAACTTTAATGTATTAAATACATGTATTAAATGCTAGCAATTTCATAATATTTTCTTATTAAATGATACATATAATGGTTAATGGAAAAAGTGGTCTATATTAAGAAATACATCAAGTAAAAGAAAGAAAATAATATGGAAAGATAGAGTCATGAAAATGATTAATCATCAACAACAAAAATCAGAAGTAATAGACACTGTTGATGACAGCATTTCAGATTCAAAAAAATGAGACTGCTTAGAGAATGTTTCACATGGAATGTGTGGATTCTGAGACTTGATTATCACCTTTTTTCTAAACTTTTTTTTCTGAAAAATGAATGCTTTCTGTATCTTTTCACACAGCAGAGGATAAAGTTGTACTAGAAGACCTCCAAGGTCCCTTCCAACCCTATGATTCTATGACAGTCCAGAACATTAAATACTACAATTTTTACTTTTTCTGCAGTGTTCACGCTTTCCCTAAACAAGCGAAAATGAAGATGCTATATATTTAGTGTTCAGTAGGTTGTAGCTCCACTTGCAACTAAAATTAAAAGCATTTCACTAAATTTAATTCATAAATGTATAGTCAGTCT